TAATAACATAATTTATACATCTAATAGATACACATAAATGTACATGTATAGCTTTTTAAAAACAAGAATCTGTAATTGGAAATGTGAAAGTGAAGAGTTTAGGTAATAGTTCTTAACCAAAATTTAACGACAGTTCATTCCTTCCTAGTCTCTATATAACTTTTAATTACGGCCGTGCCCTCTCCCCTTCAATTGATGTCTTATACATGCTTTTAAATTCTGTTTATGTATCAAGAAATTTCCACAGGTACTTGTGGACAGGATCCCCCCCCCCCCCCAATTCAACCCCGATGTTTGTTGGACATTTTTTTCCACAAATTATATTTATTACACTTATTCATCATGTGTACCATAGGAAAAAATCGAGTACAAGTACCTGTGGAAATTTCTATTTGCCCCCCCCCTCCCAAAAAACTGAAATTGCTTTCTACGGGCTTAACAACAGGTACTTGTGGACAGACACCCCCCCCCCCCCGATATTCAACCCCGGGGCTTGTTGGACATTTTTTCCACAAATTATATTTATTGCACTTACTCATCATGTGTACCATATGAAAAAATCGTGAAAAACCCAAAATAATCCTTCCACACAAAAAATGCCTCACTATGTATAGTTAAAACATTAATTTTTCATATTTCTTGATGAAATTAACATTAAAAAAATCAACACAAAATTAATACCGAATTACATATCACTTGAATTTATCATAAAGCAGAAAATCTGTTCTGCGGGCTTCAAGGCCAGCTCAGGAACCTAAAGATGTCCTCATTTTGCAAGTCCAGTGCAGAACGTAAAATAAATGAAATAAATCACACGATCACTGGGATGAACTCAAAGAAAGAAGACTCTTGAGGAAAAGATATTTTGTTTCGACTTATAGACTGAAATAAACCGATATTCTCTTTTTTTGCCACTCTTTCCTGGTGCCCTGGGACTCTGAATGTAGGATCAGTATATTTTTTTTCACAGGTCCGTTGTACGGATTGTACGGGGGGGGGGGGGGGCAGACCTTCTGAAAATAGTCTTTTGCTGTAGTTTTAATATGTAAATTTTGATTTAGTTGCTGCTTGCTCCCTCCCCACTCTTTGTTTCTCTACGGTCATTCATAGGCGAATTCCAGCAAAAATGTAATGATCCCCCCCTCCAACACACACTTTTCTTTTTTTTTTTTTAATGTGTATTGCAATAGGACTTAAAATTGGAAAACATTTTCTGTATATCTCTACATCGAAAAATATAAAACAAATATTTTTTTTTTTATATTTCCTTTTTAAAACAACATAGATAATTATGCATAGCTAATTAAATACTGAATTAAATATTTATCTTTGCAGACAATATGCTCTGGGTTATAGAACATGATGTGAAAGCGTATCGTAATGCACCTTGTAATCCTTTGGATTTTCAGATTTAAGGCCAATGCGAAAACCAAAACACGCCGACATTTTTTTATGCTACTGTAATCGAAGATCCGGGGGGCATACAGTTTTTGTCCTGTCCACCTGTCTATTTGTCTGTTAGACTGTGTTAGCCTCTTTGTCCGCAAAAACTTTAACTATGCCCATAGAATTTGATTGGTTGGAACTACTGCTTTCATATTTCTTATGTGTATTCCTAGTAACAAGGACTTCCTTCAGGTACCAACATATTTGACCTCTTGACCTTGAACTTGGAGTTTGATCCTCTTTCGCAAAATTTTACCAAACTATAACCTTGGCCAAAACTTTTGAACAGTTGGTGCTATGGCTTTTATACTTCACATCTGTATCCCTTGTGATAAGTCTCCTCTTTGGGTATACATGTGTTTGACCATTTGACCTTGACCTTGGAGTTTGACCAACTTTTAAAAACTTTAGCCTTGACAATAACTTTTGAATGACTAGTACTAGGGCTTTTATATTACATAGGTAATTTTCTTGTAACAAGGCCTGTCATTGTATACCTATAATTTTGATCATTTTACCTTGACCTTTGAGTATGTCCTACTTTTGAAAACTTTAACCTTGGTTTTAACTATTGAACAGTTGGTGCTAAGGCTTTTTTAATACCACATGTGTATTCCTTGTAACAATCAAGACCTTCCCTCAAGTACAAACAATTATGATCCCTTGACCATGGAGTTTGACCTTTTAAAGAAATTAACCTTGGCCATAACTTTTAAGCTGTTGCTGCTGTGGCTTTCATACTAGTATATATTTCACAGTATATTCTTTGTTCAAGACCTTTATTTGGGTAATACCATTTTTTTATCTTTTGATCTTGACCATGGAGTTTGACTTGCATTTGAGAAACTTTAACTTTTGCCATAAGATGACATATGGGGGCATCAGTGTTTCAAAAATCACACGTTGTTCAGTATCCAAATCGGGCATAAAACATTTACAATGACCCTTTAAAGCAGTGAGTTGAACCTAATAAATTACGACTATAGAAATTATGATAATTTATTTCGATGTATTGTCTAAAAAAACGTTTATTATACCTCTGTGAAAACTAGCTTACAAGTGAAAAATCACTAGTAAAATAGAATTTGATTGGCCGAGAAAGTCACGTGTCCATCATGTTTGCCCTGCAACAAAACGTCGTGTTTCACGATTGTGACGTCACAATTAAACGAGTGAGGAGTTAGATTGTTTATAGCGCCGCTGCTAACTTCGTTCGCGTGGTAACAACAACTAAAAATTCACCCCAAGAAATCACCTTAATTAATGGAATTGCATACAGATAGTAGATTAAACGTTCTTTGTTAAAATGTTTGCACTTTTCAAAATTCGTTTATGGAAATACAGCTAACATACGTCATGAGACGTCACAGTCTAGACGTTCCAAATGTCTCGTGCTGTTTGAAGAGGCGGATCTTAAAATTAAGTGAACAATGCACTCACCCCAACGGTCGCACCGTCAACATATTATCGTTGATTGACTGTGTCGATTTAAATGTGTAAAAATGTAATGGTGGTGTTTGAATGTTACTGGTGTGATCACACAAACTTGTCACGTAGGATTTTTTTTAATGAAACGAAGCTATTGGTGTACCTGTAACTTACATCTCTTTCATATCGTTCTCATCAAATGCATGTTTGCTTTATTCATTGGATCTCCTTTGTAATTCCTGCATTTTGGTTAATTCGGTATTATAAACAATTTATTGCATAATAGTGAGGGAGACATAAAGATTTCTTCGCAAATGAAAAATCATATTTCCCTCGGGCGTTGCCTTCGGGGAGTATGATTTTTCACGGGGAGTATGATTTTTCATGGGCGAAGAAATCTTCATGTTGTCCTCGGGGAATATGATTTTTTATGGACGAAGAAATCTTCATGTCTCCCTCACTATCATGCAATAAATGCAAACTGTGAACTTGTCAAGTCCGAAACACACAAAAGGGTATCGCTGATATCATACAGAGTGTATCATTGCTTTGATCAGGCCCATAGGAAGCAAATTCAGGGGTTTTTTTGTTTTTTTTTTGGGGGGGGGGCAGCCATACATTTTCAGTTGACAGTTGAGGGGGCACTACTACCATAAATTTCCTGACAAGCAAAAAAAAGGTCACCAACTACCAAAAATTCCTTGACAAGCAAAAAAAAAAAAAAAGAAGGTTATCAGACGTTTTTATTGAGGTGGCACAAGCTATAGTATCTATGTCTACTATAGTAATCTATATATCGGCAAAATTATTGGGGGGGGCACGCCCCCCGTGCCCCCCCACCCTCCCTCGGTTCCTACGGCCATGTTGATTAAATTTAGGGTCACTAAGGAAAGAATGTTTTGACTGGATGAATGGTCTGAAAGAACATGTGTTAACTTGTCGAGTCGGTAACATATAGATGGGGTTTGCTTATAACCAGAGTGTGTCATGGTTTGATGCAAGGTCATCTGAACGAGTTCAAGGTCATCAACGGAGAAACAACATTCCTTAACTGTCTTTCTACTGGTGAGACATTGCAAGTTGATACCCCTTATAAGATTGCTTATAACCTTAGAATGTGGCATGACCTTGACTCAAGGTCACTTCTTCCTGTTCGCAGCTCCAACAGAAGACCTACTCGTTGCTTTGCAACGAGCTCTGCTCTAGTTTATTTAACGTTTATTTTGCATGTATCGGTCAAGGTAGCAAATGGTAGGGCGCTCGCTTAGTGATCGGGAGGCCCGGGTTCGATTCTCGTTCGCCGCGTCAAACCTAAGACGTAAACAGGTACTAAATGTTCTTTTGCCAAGCACCCGGCACTAGAAGTTAAAGTCACGGGTCTTTCGGATGAGACCTTGAAAACTGAAGTCCCGTATCACGGTAGGCGTTGGCACGACAAAGAACCCTCACTGCTCAATGGCCCTGAGTGCCGAGTTTAGGTCTTAATTTGAGGTCCCTCACCGGTATATGGTAATGTCTCTATATAAGTGAAAAATTCTAGAATGGGACGTAAAACAATATACAATCAATCAATCATTTTGCATGTGTATGCCATTGCAAACGATATGAAAACAATTCATAAAATACCTGTAAAACCTGACCAAACTGAGACGACAGATTGTTTTCAAGTCTTAAGCTTATTTTCATTTCATTCAAAGATTTTACTAGAAGAGAAGACCACTACGAAAGGAAGGATTTATGACTCCGAGTCTATGTCATGTATCATAACCATTCCTATGTCAGAGCGGGAATTCAAAGTATTTTCCCATTTTGGAAATAAATATAATACGTTTACACATACAGAATTCAAAATGTATCATGATGGTCACAATCTCAATTGTACTGTTTCTGCAGAGGAAGGTAAAATTTTAGAAGAAAAGATAAAAGGGCATTTAAATAAAATACGAATGATGAATACTGATCAGATTATGTTGCCTTATAACACGGATATCAATGTTCAACAGCTTGTGCAGGATGTAGGACGAGAATACCCTAATGTATGTCTTCTTCTTGAAAATAATAATATTGAAATATTTTGTAATGATTATGCTTATCTGCTAAAAATAAGGGGTTTGCTGCATCAGAAAATGTCAGGAAAAGTAACTAGAAGAGCAAATCGTAAGTTTGCAAGGACAGAAGAAGCACCAGAGGAAGGAAAACCACCGACTGGGGATATATACAAAAGAAGATTCAATACTGATGACAGTTTTCAAGCTGAATTTCAGTCTGAAAGTATGCGGCAAACAACTCCACTTTCAAAATACGAATTCAACACAAAGGAAGGTCTTAAAGTTTTGATTTATGAAGGCAGTATCACTCATTTAGATGTGGATTGCATTGTCAATGCAGCAAATGAAAATCTTATGCATGGGGGAGGAATTGCTTTTGCTATATCTGAGGCAGCAGGTTATGTATTTGATGAGGAAAGCAAGGATTATATAGCAAAGCATGGTCAGATACCAGTAGGTACATGTGCTGTGACATCTGCTGGTAAATTACCGTACAAGTATGTAATTCACTCAGTTGGACCAAGATGGAGTGATTATACTGACAAAGATCGTTGTTTACGTGATCTCTGTGAGTCTGTAGAGGTAACATTTAGAGAAGCTGATAAGTTAGGGATGAAGTCAATTGCATTACCTTCAATAAGTTCAGGTAAGGGTCTTATTATCGTTAATGATATTGTAGAAGTCAGAATGTTTTTTTTTCAAATTTTTCTTCATTGATAAATTGTAAAAATTTGATTATACCTTAAAATTCTTGAAAATTGAAGCTTTTAAAAGTTTATTATATGCAAACATTTATGACTGAAAATATCAAATAATATATCAAAACAAAACAAAGATGAAATCAAATTAATAATAGTCATATCATCTACTAATAAAAATTCACAAAATAATTAGTTTTATCGTATATATTATTTTGATAGTGGAAGCATTATGACTGTTAGGCTAATAGTGTCATCATGAAGCGGGTTCAGTTTTGCAAACTAATATTACAAATATTTTCAGTGAAAATTAGATCACAATTATTCATATCATATAAGGTTTATAATATACTAAATAATTTGCTAGAGTGCGTTAAGTTGATTTCAGTGTAAAAGAAATAAATTTCAATGTAAAATTCAATAAATATGATAATGCAGATAAATTTTAAGTTAATAAAGTAATTGGGTAGACGTATATATTATTGATATTGTTTTGGTCTCGTTTTGTTCCAGGTATATTTGGCGTCCCTAGAGATAAATGTGTGGAGCAATATCATAAGGCAGTGACGACATTCAGCAGAAGTTACCCTTTCTTGAGACTCAGGGAAATTCACTTTGTTGACCGAGATGCATCAATGGTCAGTGCACTACAGGTAGTATTTCAACAGAAAACTTCACGCTTAAATAACACAGAGCCTTCTAAAGCTCCATACGAAAGAAAATTACAGGGAGCAAATGATGATAAACTTTCACCCATTCATCATGAAATGCACCTAAAGCACTTTTCAAACTGTTGTATATGTATGGATCAACTCACAAATCCACAACGATTGCCAAAATGTGGACATATTTTCTGCAAGAAGTGCATCAAACAGTATCTTGATTACAAGCCAGCTTGTCCCACCTGTGGCCAGATTTATGGGAAGATGACAGGCAACCAGCCTCCAGGGTCGATTTCAATTAAGAAAAGTTACCAAAGATTGCAGGGTGTCCACGACTGCAATAGCTGTATAATACGTTATATTTCCATTAGTGAGCTCTTCAAAATTAGAGGCGCGTTTGGTCGTCTGACAGGGACAGCATGCGTTGCGGATAATATAAAACATGCCAATCTCAATCCAATTTTTAATGTTAAATGTATCTGTCATTCCAATTAAAGAATGGAAGAACTAAAAGATATATGTAAGAGAGCGAGAACCCTAAATTTATCATCCATTAATAAAAAATACGACATTTCCGAGGCATGTATATTGTATTTAGATGTAGCATACGATAAATAGATACATACGATCAACAATATAGATATAAATTGATATCGTTGTCATTCCTACTCTTGATGTATATAAAGTCCACAACAATAAAATATTTCATTTGCATTTTCTTAGGATTTGTTCATCGACATTCAACATACTGTTTACATGTTTACATTACGTTTGTCCCTGAAATCCCGCGAGATTTGTACATTTACCGACTTTTTCACGAAAGAGCTCACTAAGAAGTATAACTCTTCCATAGTGGAAATAGAACGTATTGTGACGTACACATTACCTGGTGGATTACAGGGGGTATGGTGCTTTCTATAAAGTAATCTGTATAATATCCTGATAATTAGAAGAATTAAACAATTTTTAATATAGATAAATGTATAATATCTTTGGACTTGACCTGAAATAAAAGCTTAAGCAAGTGTTTCTTATCAAAGTCAGTCCATTACTGGTCATCTGTTTATTTTCCTCTGCTTTAATTTTAAAAAAATATATCAACTCATCAGAACTTGAAATTTATGGAATAGATCCAAGTCTGTGCATATCAAAGCCATAAGGATTGGTCCACAAAAGGTGTATAAAGTCTTTCACAAAATATAAAGACTGTAACGAGAACAAGAAAGTACTAGTATTAGAGTATGTTGCATAAAAGTAGCAACATGTATTTTTCATACATGAAATTCCATCTGTTACATTTTAATTGCTGAGGTCTTGCGCCGTACGATCATACCCTGAGAACATTCATATAAAATCATTACCCGTATCTTTATTTCATAAAAAATGAAATTTTAAACAAATGTGAAAGATAACAACTTGTTGAATATTTAGCTTATTGCTTTTTTCACTAAAATAAAAGTTGTCGATTTTACCTGAAAACCTTCGTATATCAATAGTCTTTAACCTCCTTCTCATAAACGTTTAAAAAACTAAATCATGTTATTTAAATATTTGTCTTATATACAAAGATTTTCTGGCAAAGAAATGCATCTTTCTTTTATCATCTTATTTTGGATGAATATTTTTTTGTAGGTATATTATATAAATAGTGCACGTTTTTGAGGGCAACAGTTGAAATTGACACCCCAAGGAAAACCATTGTCAACCGACTCGTCAGCGGAGGTTGACAATGGTTTTCCGAGGGGTGTCAATTTCAACTGTTACCCTCAAAAACGTGCACTTTTTATTTTATTATACGGAATGTCTTATTGATTTCGGATGTCAAAAGAAAAATTCGGAGATCGTCGTTAAGTTCACGCTTAGAAAGCTTTCAAACTCCCCGCTTCTATTTTTCTCAATAAGAATGCTTCGGAAAAGATTTACCAACCTCTTTATTGTTTGTTTGCTACTCAAAAATCCTTTATCGTCTAAAGTTTGCACTCGCAAGGATGTTTCGTCTGTCGTTAATTGTTTTCAAGTAAGCTACATCGGATACAAGCTTTTATTGACGTCGTTTATTCGGCTTCTTTCAAACGCACAACTGACGATTTGAGAATTCTACGGTGAACCGTACGCGCATGATTTGAACGCATGTGACATTTTCGTAATGTTACCCGTTGTCAAATGTGTTGCTAACGCTGAGGGTAACATTACGGATTGTTAAATGCGTCTAACCCAATCAGATTTTAGTATTTAATAGCGATTCTCTGTAACCACTTAAACTTCTTTGCCACGCATGGTCACCGATTTTGATGAAACTTTGCCCATTATTACAACTTGACACGAGAAACATATATCAAATAAAATTTCGTTGCTATGCGTCTTGGTTGCCATGGTAACAGCCAGAAAAGTTGGAAAAATTGAGATTTTCAGCTACTTTGAATCTTTATTAAGCCTTAATAAAGACTAAGAAAAACAAACAAACCATTCTCACAAAAACCTGACACCTTGTTGCAACTTATGCTATAAAGAAACTATTTAGAATTTATCTCTAAGTAAGTGGTAACCATGGGTACATTTGGAATACATTTTAGATGCTGAAAAATGCAGAAAAACGCTCAATATTCACTAATGATAGGTGTTAAATGATCAAACTCAATCAACAACTTAAGGAAAAAAAAAAAAAAAAATTTGACCTTAAGTAATTAGGTATTGGCAATATTATTCTAAAAATAACTTTCATGGTTGCCATGGTAACACAGTGTAACCATGCAAAATATGTTGCTAAGATTGGGTTAATGCTACTATCTTCAGGAAAAACAATAAAATTCATGACTGGCACATATACATCCTTAGGACCTTGCAACACCGACAACATAAGAAAAATTGGGATTAATTGTTACTTTGCAGTGTAACCACGGAAACAATGTACCAGTTGTTTAAAGTGATATTTTTTTTGCTGCCTTAGGAATTTACTTACTTTTCATTCAAGAAACATATTATTTGACTCACCTTGAATAGTACTTATCTGGAAGAACTAAAGTTGAATATCATATATTGATAACGTTTGTTGAAAAATACAACACTGTTGCTATGGTAACCAAGAAGGGAAAATGTTCGATTTTGTTAATTTTATATCAATATTAAGCCCTATGTGCCAGCTTTTTGCATTCAGTTAGAGATTGGGTGGCAGTCAAAATTGAAAGTCAGGTTAGTTGTTCATAATTACCAATCATAAAAGTTTTGGGAATCTACATACAATGGTACGTATCCAAGGAAACAGAATATTTTTCAGATTTTTATGCATATTTTTTCGGCTTATTTCCATAGCAACGCTCTATTTAAAGAATTGAATTTGAATTTTTTAAAATGTGAAAATTAGGGTCACATGAACATCTTTAAAAATTGATCATTAGTTATATAGAAATATGGTTTTTAAAAAGATAGGATTAGATTTAATCACTAAGAGAATAAATTTAAAATCCCTTCTTGGTATTAAAACCATGGCAACCATTGCCAACCTATAAGAAATATCATATTTCTTCCTTGGTATATGTTACAAGGATCTTTTGTCTATTATTTGCTTGCATTTCAACCTATAATTGATTTTATTCTTAAGTGTATGATGTTATAAAATTAAATGATCAAAATTATTACTTTTGAATACTTTGTTTCCATAGTAACGTATGTAATAGTTGATTTACCAAACATGTTTATCATGCATTTAAGACATCAGGTCTTCAACTTTCAGAAACAATCATTACCACTTGTTTGCTTTGCTGCAAACGTTAACTGTGGGACTCTGAACATGTTGAAAAATGCCATTTTTCAAACTTTAGGACATGTTGCCATGGTAACCATGTCACGTAGCAACCATTTTCTGCCTGATTTGAGTTGACGGTATCAAAGACTTTTATCATAGAGAGTTTGGAGAAATTCTGAGACTATGCGTGCCACAGCTTCTTTATAAAAGTTCAAGTCGTTACAGAGAATGGCTCTTAACATGAAAGTATAATAAAACAAAATGATGACGTTTTAGCATGCAAAAAATTGCAAATCAAGTGCGACTTGATGAAAATAGTTAAGAATAATAAATATTTAAAAAAAACATATACCGGTAATTGTAAGTCGTAAACATTCGACCAGAAAAGTATTGCGTATTGCAGCCTAGAGGACATCTAACCCAACTCCCTCAATCACCCCCTTTTCTCTTCTGTTATTTAAAAACTTGAAAGCATAAACTGCAGCAATACAAAATATTACATGAACAAATTAGTAATGAAGATACTGAAATGATGAAGATGCAATAATGTTAAAGAAACAATGTCCAAAGGGGGAAAAGTACAAATTATAAATGTTCCGAAAAGATGAAAATGCAATTGACTTAAAGAAACTATATCCGAAGAGAAAAAAAATACACCAAAATGATGAAAATAAAATAATCAAAAAAACAATGCGCAAATGAGTGAAAAATACTAATTATAAATATATACCGAAATGTTATAGTGTTAAAGAAAATGCCCAAAGAGGAAAAAATAAGACTCTCAGATGGTCCAAAAGACCAAAAGGTCTAATTAACTGTAATTAAACGATTGATTGTTGATGGCCAATATTTTTTTTTTTATCAAACAGATCCCCGAGTAATTTTTGTTTTTGAAACTGATTTACTTGCGCTGAATTTAACACTAGAAACCCAAGATCATGTAAAGATTGAAAACGTGACAGATCAATGATCTGAGTTTTGTATCATTTTTATCCTACACATCCGATGTAAGTGCTGGTGCAAATGGGGGGAATCCTATTGAATAGAGATACTTGTAGTTGCTGATATTTATTATTTTGTTAAGAATCATATCTACTTATTGTGCGAGAAATCAAGCTTTCTAAATAAAATAATATTACGAAGGGTTGATATAATTTGCGATTCCTTGTCTACATAGTCGTTTGTCATAAAGAGGAATTAGCTTCCTGTAAACTTTGTGACTTTCTGATTTTTCTTGTGATAAAGTTGTGATAAAAATATCTATCTACTCGCAGACTGATCATCCCAACCCTGGAAAGATGTATAAAGGAATTAGTCGCTCTGGTTATCTCCCTAACAACGAGAAAGGATGTCTTGTTGCTAAGCTGTTGAATGTAGCATTTAGCAGGCGTTTAGTGTTTACTATTGGTCGCTCTAGAACTACAGGTCAGGGTGGTGTTATTACATGGAACGACATACTACATAAAACTAGACCTGATGGAGGACCAATTAAGTAAGTTACTACCTGTATCCAATGTATTTTTTCCAAGGATGCATTTTATATACGATTTTCAAAATATGATCAGATAAGCCTTACTCTGGGGCACACAGATCCATTTTGGCGAAGGAAATATTGTAGCCTATTGTCATCCTGCAGAAGAAAGAAATCGTATTAAATTTAATTTTCTTTAATTACGACCACATTTTAAAAATGATCCACCCTGAAACAGAGAAGCCATCATTTTCAAAATGTTATTAGAGGATTTATCTCTCATTTTAATCATACATTCAGTCTAGATCTGGCTACCAGATGTCTACAATGAATGAAACGATTTTAAATGAAATGAGTTTTCAAGAAATCACCAACCTAACCACAGCCTTTGGTTCTTAGAACTGGACTCGGGGAACATAAACATATTTTGGTGAAATATTAAAATGCTCAGTTGCTCACTGAAAGCACACATTTTGCATGTAAGATACTAATGAGTAAAGGCATAATTTTTTAACAAATGCTGGAAAATGAAACTGAGGATAACTTACAGCGATCATTCTCAAAAGTCCATTTAAACAATACACATTATGAACAGACATAACACAGACTTCTAAGAATAGAGATTGGATCAGTGTCATGAATAAGTAAGCATACCCTGTCGTGCGGAGTTTCTTGATTTAGTTCTCTTTTGTTCGCAATAAATATACACTTTTTTCAATGGGTTGCACTGTAGCTTTCGGGTCGTCTATCCCAATTTTCTCAGACCAGCGAGCTACAGATATGCAACCATCCACAGAGTACATTAAGAGGTATGAAGGATATAGTTGGGAATGAAATAAATATTTTTTGGTGTATAATTGTTTGCAGATTTGGATATCCGGACGACACGTATCTCGAGGGGGTGATGGCGGAGCTGTCAGCAAAAGGAGTTACACCGGAGTCAGCTGATGACCCACGGGAATATAGTGAATATTCCAAGTTTGTTAGTTACAGCTAGAATGCTTTATTTTGACACCCCCCCCCCCACAAAAAACAAAAACAAAAAACGAAAACAAATAAACAAAAATCATAGTCATTTTGCACAAGTATAATTGATAATGCAGATCCAAAAGTAATTTCACATCTGCTATAAAATCTTAAATAATCGGTTATAAACAAAATTTTATTTTCTCATTCCTCTGTTTATTTTGACTTAAATGCCTTAAATTTCATTCAGATATGTGTAATACTTTTGAAAATTAACGCAACTTTTGGTCACGTCTATCGACTCACGGCAAGAAGGAACCGACGACATTATGACATTTGTCTTCGGCACTCATTTTCAGTTCTTCCATAAATCTATTAAATCTTTCACATATACGTTTTATTTTATGTACAATCCAACTTGTGATGGAGCGCTTAGTATTGAGCTATTTCTTTAAAAAAAATTTCAAATTTCGATATTGCATTTATATATTCAGCGATATTGCATTTATATATTCATTTTGCTGTGCGTAGATATAGATCTAGGGTAGAGTCGGATTTCAGAGGAAGTGACGTGAGAGGTCCATCCTCTACGCACTTTTTTTCTTAGCATCTGTCCATCTTTTGACTTCCATTTACCTGGGTATTTATGCAACATTTGTATCTTAATAATAATGATAATTTTCCGTCATAAATAGTTAATGTTTCGGACGTTAAGCCTGGTGTTAAGCCAGGTTATCAAATATTTCAACGAGGTATTTATAGTCCCAGTAATTGGGATTTAACCGAACTGAAAAAATCCCGGTTACCGGCCTAAAGTGCAGATTGGGCATGCGCCAAAAACAGGACCGCAGTCATCATCATGGCTGAATCCTCCAAGGACAACACGCCTCAGGCAGGAGCCATATCCAAATTTGTATGGAAATTGTTTTATTCTCACTCATATCTTAATATTTACATTTTCAACCTTTATTTTTCCTATTTTATTAATATTTTTTGCCATTATCACTTATAAACTTATCCTTTTATAAGAATTTCATCTTGCATCTGAGGAAATTCGAAATGCAACGAACTTGAGCATTTTAACTAGGCTATTTAGAGTCACAAATCCTTAATCTTGTATCCTTTACTTTAAACACATACCTTGAACATTTATTTAACCAATTATTAATGGTACTGGCGGTGTTTGAAGTGAAGGACATGTCTTAATTTATTTGAAATCAAGTTCAACAATGTTTAACCATTAGTCCATACAGATGTAATTTAGGCCAAACAAAAAAAATATGTGTGGTTCCTGTTACACCTCCAAAAAAATTAGGGTAGGTAGGTAGGGGTTTTTTTTTTTTAAACGAATGATTTTCTTAATTTTTCTAAATAATACCTATCACTGCTTTGCAAATGACATTTAGATGTGGTGTGATAATATACTAGTCAATATTGGTAGGGGACACCTACATGCTAGCTTTCTTTGGATTTAGTACTATTAAACACTTGCACTATGTTGTGCAAGGAGGCCGTCATTGCCGAAACTAAAACTTAAACCGGAGCCATTGATGGAAATTGGGGAAAATTCCGGAAAAAATATTAAAATTACCAAAAAAAGTTTAGGGTTGGGGGTATAAAATAGGGACGGTCGGGTAACCGATACCATGTATCTGCTTAAAATGATCTTAAAAATTATTTCTCTATCAGCATTTATCAGTTCTCATTGACTTAAGTGTGTCCTACCAGAGTTCTGTAATTTGATTTAGAATCATATATTAAGCAGTGCTGTTAAGAATACTCCTAACCTTGTCACTACAAATTAAACCCCCTTTTAATCCTACCTCAACTAATTTTAACCAAAACCATAAGTCTTTACCTACCCAAGATCCATGTTGCCTAGACGGAATGTTCTATCATCAAAAGATGTCTACATATGCAGTTAATGATTTTATTTTCAATATACTTGATCATGTTGATGATAGCAAAATAATTGGGCCATAACTAGGGCTGTGCAATAATATCAGTATTCTGGTATATTGCGATTCATTAACAAAAAATATCGTATTTATTTATTTCATCTATTAGTAAATTGTATTAAAAATGTATTAGTGGTCATACAAAAATGAAAGTAGAAACGGCAGTGTATATGTAGATAAAAAAACAAAAAAAACTTTACAAAGTATCACAGGTAATATTACTGAATAAATAATGTATTAAACATTGCTATTTTGGGGGGGTCTTTTTTATATATTATTGTTCGCCTAGTTTTATATGAAGAAAAAAACACAGCAATAAGTCGCTAATCCATCAAGCACATGATGCAACTGACTCAAATTCAATTTCTGAAAGTCTTGGAAAACACCTAACAAAAAAAATAAATGCCCTTATTGATAAAAAGTTTTTGTTCCAGCAAAAATTGATTTGTTCCTGTAAAATGCATCACACTGTTGGTCGAAATGTCCGGTGTTTAAAATATTTTGTTTTGAGAACACTGGGTAGAGCACCTGACTGGGAATTCAGGGGGCCGGGTTCTAATCCCTGTCTGGTACATCACATTTACCTCTTCTCCAATTGCATTTGGTAGGGCACCATTTACAATATTTATATAAGTGCCTGAAAGTAACAGGTGTAAGACCTACTATAGAACAATCTGTGTGGTATCCAGTCAATTTGTACACAAACCAACTCATACACAAACCGACTGGTACACAAGGAGTCAACTCAACTCATACACAAAACTGAAGTCAACGCGTACACAAGGTTTTCCTGTGTATAAAACTCATAGACAAAACTGAAGTCAACCTACACAATGTTTTCCCGTGTATAAATTGAGGATTTAATATGTATACAAAATTTTTTCTGTGCACAAAAATGAGGAGTCAACTCGTACACTTAGGTTTTTCCTACAAATTTTACTTATACCAAGATCAAATTCGTGTAGAAGATTTTCTCGAGATTAAAAATGAGTATTCAATTATGATTGAAAAAGTTCAAAAATAAGCTTAGCCACATACATGCATATACCAGAATTCTATCAAAGTTGAAAGAAAAGTTGTTAGAAAGGTTTGCGATCATGCCAAACAGTAAGACAAAAGCTGTTGTGTGGGTGTATTTAGTAACATAACTGTAATTCAATCAACAAGATATTTTATATTGGTTAAAATGAAGTTAAAATAATAACAATATACCATTTAAATTTTTGCTGAAAATGTTGCAATACATATCACAATACAGTTAAAAATATTGCAATATATTGCAGTACGAAATCTCTATCCAATACCCAGCCCTATTAAAAATGTTGATAAAATACCTTGAATAATGTAATAAAATACCTACCTCCAGTTGATATGTACTGCTATATCTTTTCTAATTAAAGTAAATTTATATGAATTAAGTACCTTTTTGAACTGTCTTTTGAAAAAACAAAACTGTTCCAAACATTTCAAAAAATTGTTTCAAATACATGTTGTAATTTACAATTCTCCAAATTCTAAAAAATTAATATACTTACTCTAAGCAATGAATATGATTCTTAACAGATTCTTATTTTATTAATGCAGGCCAGTAGAACACAGGAGGGCCCGCCCTCTCCCCCAACTTTTTTTCTGAATTAGTATTTTGCTACGGTAAATATTCATTAACAGCTTAACGTCTTAAGATGCTGGATAACTCCCACACTTTTTGTTGTTGTAAGATCATGCACTGGCTAAGTGCAGAATTTTCATCAGTTAATTAGGGTTTTGTTTTTTTTATGCCCCGCCATGAATATGGCCTGGGCATATAGTGTTTGTCATGTCCGTCTTCCATCCTTCTGTCCTTCCATCCTTCCGTCTGTCCTTCCGTCACACTTTGCGTTTAGCTCTGTTCAAAGCTCAGTTTCAAAGAAACTATCCAAGATATTTTTATCAAACTTCATATGCTGATAGATATTGATGAGAGCTATGCAACTGCATCAACATTTTTTGACTTTGACCTTTCCTTTGACCTTGACCTCACTTTTCTTAAATTAGTGTATATCTCAGTTTTAAAGATACCATTCAAGATAGTGTAATCAAACTTCATATGTTGATACATACTGATGTAAGCTATTGAACTGCATCAACATTTTTTGACCTTGACCTTTCTTTTGACCTTGAACTCACTTTTCTTGAATTAGTGTTCAGCTCAGTTTTAATGAAACCATTCAAGATATTTTTAACAAACTTCATATGCTGATACATAGTAATGAGAGCTATTCAACTACATCAATATTTTTGACCTTCACCTTTCCTTTGACCTTGACCTCACTTTTCTTAAATTAGTGTTTAGCTCAGTTTGAAAGAAACCATTCATAATATTTTTATCAAACTTCATATGCCGATACATACTGATGTAACCTTTTCAACTGCATCAACATTTTTGACCTTAATCTCACCGCTCTGGGAATTAAGTAAACTAAGCATGCTAAGTGTATGGTTATGATGAGCAACGGTGCCTCTTTCAAAATTGTGAATTTCATGGCTTCTGGTTTAAAACACGAACCATATTCATTGTTGGAAAGTTGTTACATGATACACGGGTGACCAATAAGACCAATGGGCCTCTTGTTTTAATAGGTATGAGAAGTAAAACTTACAAATGCATTTTTTTTTTTTACAATTATTTGTTTTAATTTTTTTTTATTTTAATACCTTCAGGTTGCAGATCCTCTCTTGAATCGTATCTTTCCATCAGAAATGATACTGCATCAATATGTATGCACCTTGGATAGCGTTGTAAAAAAGCTAAGAAATGTAGATAATTTGAGAATTTTAACACACATAATGTTTTGCGTATGAAAAAAAATAGGAACATTGTTTTGCATATAAAAAAAATAGAGTGTTTCAAGGAATGCATGTGTCACCTGCTTTGTAGCTTCAAAGATGTAAATAAATCTAAGTGTAGTTAGCTGTTTATTTACAACCAGCATGATAGGTTATGCAGAAAAAAGCAACCACACGCAGTATAAGACTGCGATAGAATCTGACAAAGAATATAGAATTATTGCTGGTTTTTGAGGTCAATACGATGATATAGACACCTGAGGAGTACAATATTTACTGAGCCCGAATGAATCTTATGTCAACTTCCTGTTACTCTGTGCATCTGTCCCTGCAAAATTTCTGTCTCAGTTTTGTCAACAACTACTTAATGCAAATGCATGAAATTTTAGTATAGTCTTTGTTTAGGCATGCCATATGGTGGGATTCATTTCTGTAGAAATCTGATGTTAACTTCTTGTTTATCCGTGTGTCAGTCTGTACTGAATTTCAGTCAGTTTTGTGGGTAACTACCAATCTGGACTAGATTTTTTTTTTTTTTCAGTAGTCACTTGGGTTATGGGCTTAATTTTTTATTGGTCAGCTCAGCACCTTTACTGTCCCACTAGGCAAGTAGATTTTAAAATGACTGGCCCAAAACCATATTAATAATAGTAATATTTTGTTCATATTTTGATACTGGTAGTATTGCTTGCAGAACAAGAAACAACGGAACTTGGACAGTCAACCACTTTAAAGGTATTACGCAAGGAAATAGCCAATCAAAATGAAGTTGGTCAATTATATTTCTATATATATTGAGACAGTTTCTTTTTCTTTTTTCTATATATATTGAGACAATTTCTTTCTCTTTTTTCGTTTTCGGCAACATTTTTAGGCCTACAGTATTAATTTTGGACTCATGTACTAGGAATATCATATCTTTAGCAGAACTGAGCCACTGAATTAAAGGGAACTCTTTTTGTAGGTGCGCATGATGCAACTTCCTGGATGGTGTGTAGGCTGTTTGTCAACATGTGAAACCCACGTGTATTTCGGGGTTGGTATGTTTACTCTCAATTTTGTTTCTTAAAAGCCACATAAGGGGTATTTTTTCTGATCTCAAATTTTTGTCTCAGCATTAATCTTTTTTTTCTCTTTCATGAATTATCTGCTGAGAGTCTAGTTAATTAATTGATTTAATTAAAGCTATATAGTAACATATAGTGAAATTATTTGCTTGTGTGAGACCTTAAAGAGGAACAGGTAACTCTCATTTTGACTACAATTTCTTTGGTTTCAGGAGTAGTCTCCCCTTTTAAAGATTAAAAATGGGGGATAAACAATACGGCATGCAGTCTGGTCATCAGCAGAGAGTTTCGACACCCGTATACCTCTGTAACCTTTGTTGTACATCAGACAGGTAACAAAAACAAGATAATTAATTAAAATAATTTTAATGAGATAAATGATAGAAAATAAAATTTTTACATACACAGACTCCCTCGTATAAGAAAATGTCACATTTTACACATACAATGACATATCCAAATTTTCCCCATTTACACAGTTGAATAGAATTAGTGCATAATAAAACATAGCAACAATTATTACATGTAAGGCAATTCACAAAATATGTATTAAATACAAATTTTGTACTTTTAAATTACACAGCATCATCCCCCCCCCCCCCCCCCCCCCCCATTTCACAATCTTACAACTTCCTTCTTAATTTTGGATCTGTTAGTGATTTACAGTAATTAAGTGTCTTTAGATTTTTTTATCCTACATCTGTTATCTTTTAGATCTATAGTATTTTCTTTGAGATTTTTATTTTAATAGTTTTTGTTTATTTTAAAGTAATTTTGCCTATTTTGTCGTTTCCATGATCCTTATTCAGTGAGTGCACAACTTTATGTATTCTACTCTCAAAATTTCTACTACTTGTAATACATTTTGGATTTGATTTTAAATATGCCCTATTCACAGATTCAGATTTTTTTGTACAAGTATGATGTTTAATTCTATCAAGATTATTTGGTCCTAAAGTCAAATTTATATAGTCTTTTAACAAACATTTGTCTTTTTCTGTCATGTTTAATTCAAAGTCACTAGGCAACACTAAAAATTTCCACTTATTGCTTTTCAGTCCACAACAGGAAAAGGAATAAAGTTGACAGGACTTTCCGCACTGTCAGTGGTAGCAGCTTATGATGGAACTAACAACAGTGGACATAGCCCGCTTCATCAAAGGTAAGTCTCTGGTGTAGTGTTTGTAGCAATTCTTGTACTCTGTCCTGCATCGAAGCTTCAGGTCCAAGGCAAATGTTCTCTGCATTGATTCTCCTATGGCTTTGGTTCTCTCTCCCCCCCCCCCCCCCCCCCCCCCCCCCCCCCCGGAAACATGTGACTGCTGAATGGAGCCTTAGCAGTCTGTTTTCTTTAAGAGTCAAAAAAATGACGCAAGTCTTTAAGGTTTTCATTCACATGTCCTTGTTTTTCAGATGCACCAGACGCAGCGGCACTATCTCCATCACTGATGAAATGGGAAATGACGAGTGGATGGTCATCAGTTTGTAACTCCCCGATACAGTTTGCAGCCCATCTCTTCTCATCTCCAAAGCTGATTCAATATTTGCACCAAGAAGCATACCACGCATACATTCTGTTGTAAGACTGGTACCCAGGTGACCGACAGCCATGGCCACATTTAGCTGTGCAGCTCTTCGTCCCCTTCCAGATCTCCTCAAGCTTTTCTGAGTGACTGGTATAGTGGCACTTCTTACATCGGATGGAAAGGATCCATGCCAGGCCTCGTTTTTCCTCCCCATGCTGATTCCAGTTCATTGAACTGTCACAGTCTGGAAACTTATGTGAGTGTTCTTTAAATGCATGATTCCACAATTTAGTCTTTTCTTGGTGAAGTACTCTGTATAATTTTGAATTCGGGTCATCTGACACAACTTCCATGTAGGAGTCTACAGGCTGGACTTCACTTGACCCCGGTCTCAAAATCTTCATCTCACTGCTTCGGCTCTTGGCATCTGTAACTGCAAACATTCCATTTTTCTGTGGCCGTTCAATGTCACTAAACTCTTCTTTGATTAGTCTTCTTATGGGAACTAGAAATTGGACTGGGCTGGTGGTCCCTGTATTCTTCTGGTCTTTGTTGTGAGGAATACTTCCTTTTTTGTATTGATGTTGATGCAACCATTTTGGTCCCTTTTTTGGCATGATTATTATTTTACTGTACACTTGTAGACTTTTTCTAAGAATATGCTATTGTATGTGGTGCACATTTTTAAGTATTTTAAACTTTTGTGTTGTTTATTTATTTTAGAACTGCCTGGTCTTCTAAGAGAAACTCCATTCTTTGATGACTGATGGAAAAGTTTATTTTAGAGCTGCCTGGTCTTCTAAGAGAAACTCCATTCCTTGATGACTGATGGAAAAGCCTCATCACCCCCACTGCTAAAGAACCCCTTATCTTAATCACCAGCCATTAATCAGTGATCACTTATCAAAGCTCCAAGGTACATTATTGAAGTCTCTTTTGACACCTTTTTTTTCCAGTCTCTGACTCTGTTTTAGAATTAAGATTTTCAATTTTTTGATAATTAATTCCTTATAAATCGGTAAACTTTCTGTTCCTTAGCTAATTAGAGCTTATTAATTAGAGTTGAAAAAACTTTTAAGCAGATAGCCAAGAACTCTGACATTTCAGCTTGTATTTTATTCCATTTTTTTTCCTAAATAATTCACTCATTAGATTTTTTAAAGTTTGAAATTAATATACTGTAGATGAATTTGTACAGAAATTAAGCCTAAAATTCAATAATCTGTTAGGATGAGTTATCTCCTATTTTTCATCCCTTAAGGACAAAGATCATTTTTGATGCACTAGTATATGAAAGATAAATAACTAAAAAACATTTTCTGCAAATTTCATTTAATTTCATGAACTTTTAGTTGTCTTAAAGGTCTTGTGCAAGGAAACAGCCAATCAAAATGAACTTCGTCAAGTATAGTTCCATGTATATAGAGACAATTTCTTTTTCTTTTTTCATTTCAATTTTAGGCCTACAATATTAATTTTGGACAAATGTACTAGGAATATCATATCTTTAGCAGAATTGAGCCACTGAATTAAAGGGAACTTTTTTTTTTAGGTGCGCATAATTCAACTTCCTGGATGTTGTGTAGGCTGGCTGTTTGTCAAGATGTGAAACCCATGCAGATGTATTTCGGGGTAGGTAAAAAAAAGCAGTGATCCAAAGGGCACATGCCCTCTTTAATGTACTAATTAACCCAGATTTAAAATTCACTGGGTGCAGAAATAATAATTAATAATAATAATAAACTTTATTTATCCAGGATTACCGTGCACAATTAAGCATAAAGCTAGTTTTCATTGTGGTCCTGCTACAAAACATATTAATTTTACAATTATATATGGACATCTAAAACTAGCATCTAAATAAAAACATGTTTTTATGAAACATGAAATATGTTGAGCTACAGTCTATATTGAAGTCATGTACATATAATAAGCTTGTCTGTTTTGCTATGCAGTGAAATCTTGGACGTCAAGTCTCAACTCTGATATCTCGACACCTCAGATATCTCGACATTTTTATCGATGGTCCCGTGGATGTCGAGATAACGAAGTTTACCTGTATATATATATATATATATATATATATATATATATATATATATATATATACTTTTTTTAAAAAATTGATTTTTTTTTAAAATTCAAGACTAACCATCATGAGAAATGTCAACACTCCAGGATAGTGCATTCACCAGTGATGATCTGGTATTATTGCAAGAACAAGTGAAACACCAGTGGAAGGAAGAGCCCTGGAAAGACTTGCTTGATCTATGTACAAAGACAAATTTATTTGCCTGGAAGAAAAATATTGTACTTGACTTAGTGGATATGATTTTTTAAAAAAGGTTTAAATTATTTATTACATAATATGTAGTATAGTTTACATAAAAGGAACAAAGCCAGAGAATTTATTTAATAATTGTAAAATACAATTTTTTATATATTCTGATGTATATATAGTATAAATTGTGTAGCTATTAAATTAAATTCCCTAAGTAAATCATGTCAACCTGTTAAATACAAAAAATATGTTGCTTATCCAATTTAAAGGTCAGGTAAAAAGTAAATATTTTGGGTACCTGCAGTTGTCTTTCATCAAGGTCATAATCTTTTAACACAAATTTGTCAAAGTAGTTGCCAATTGGTGTAAACCCTTTGTATAGCAGAAGTTGCTGCATATAGCTTTGGAGTGCATTTGGGAAGCTCTGCAAGTGGGATAAATAAAGGATAATCATTGTTTTTTAGCTCTACTGGTCAGAGACCAGAAGAGCTTATGCGGTAGTAAGGTGTCCGTCGTCCGTCCTTCTGTCTGTCTGTAAACAATTTTTCAAAACGCTACTCCGCCTACAGTTTTAGTCTGATTTCAGTATAACTTGGCACACAAGTAGTCTACAGTAAGATACATAATTCTGTGTATTGGTTTTATATTTCAATGAACGGTGTTGATATGGTTACTAAAAATAGAGATTTCTGGGAAGTACTTTCTAAACGCTACTCCTCCTACAGTATTGGTCTGATTTCAATATAAATTAGCAGACAAGTAGACTACACTAAGATACATAATTCTGTGTATAGGTTTTTGATTTCAATAAACGGTGTTGACATGGTTACTAAAAATAGAAATTTCTACTCCTCCTACAGTTTTGATCTGATTTCAGTATAACTTGGCAGCCAAGTAGACTACACTAAGATACATAATTGTCTTTATATATATTTTTTTTTGATTTTGTTGACTGATGTTGCCATGGTTACTAAAATCAAAATTTCTGTTAAAGACTTTTAAAAGGTTATTCCTCCTAAAGTTTTGATGATTGCAATAAATCTTGCTACAAAAAGAGACTAAACCAAGGATCATTATTCTATTTATTCCTGTTGCAAAGTTTCAAGTCCTAGTGCTACTTTAATCTTCCTTTGTTATAAGGACAAACCAGTAGTGTTACAGTCTCATCAGAGACTTCTGGTTTTAGTTTGATATGGAATTTATTTAAAGAAAGGGACACAATTGTAAAGCATCAATGAAAATATAATTATATATTAAAACAATGTTTGTGTCACAAGTGAAATAAATTCGATGTTCAACTACAAAAAATTGTATTGAGTTTTATACATTGAAATAAAAAGTAAAGTATTTAATGTTGAAAAGAAGGATGTTGTTTGTTTTTTTTTAAGACAAGCATAGTACAAAAAAAATGTATATCAAAATGTGGATTAATATGCATTTACGATTTTTTTTTCACATTGTTCATTGACAAGTAGGTAAATGATTTAGCATGGTTAGTTTTGATTGTCAGGTTTCAGAATGTTTTGAGTATTGTAAATGATATGATGTATAGTTAACTACCTAACATTAAAACTTCCTGTTGTAATAAGGGACTAGGGGGAGGATTGTAAACTCTGTATTAATTGAATGTAAATTTTGTTCCTTACATTTTGCATTCATGTTTGGATTTCTGAAGATTGGTTTTCTATTTTTTAATATTAGATTTGTTAGCAAAGGAGTGGTTATTATTGATAATAATGTAGAAGGAGGGAAAAATAGGGGGATAAAAATTAATGGATTTCTGATTTTAAAATGATTTGATAGGGTATTTTTTTCGGTTGTTTTTAAATTAATTTTATTAAGAGGTAAAAAAAAAAAAATCAGGAAATTTACTCCTCAATAAATATTTAGTTTCATACAATACCTCAAATGCAGTGGATCCAATCTCAATAAATTGTTGATTTGAATTATTCTCGGGCTGTTGTTCAATTTTATTTTCTTGAACACTTGTTGTTTTGGATTTTCCATTTGCTAAAATTGTTAATCAGATGTTAGTTCATTTCAATTTTTATGGGAAGGGGAGTGTAATTCCAACTCAATTTTGGTATAGTTTGTGCATCTGTCTGTCTGTCAATTAACTGGGAATTCTGGAGAAGATGAACAAAAATCAATCTAGCTTACAAAAAAGAATTGTTTGGGAAAGTTGATTGATATTTGTTCAAATGGAGTACACAGACATATTTCGAAGAAGTATGATCAAGAAGAGACTAAAATAATGGAAATATTTATTAAACCATATGATTCAATAAAGTTAATATAAAGGTCTCTGGGGTGAGGGTTGGGGTCATTATTGGGGATCAAAGAGGAAAATGGTATGTAATTTATCATTAGAATATAGGGGTTAATAAGTGTACTATTTTTATAAAAAAAAACAAGGTAGATATTTCTATGTAAACATCACCTTATAAAATTAGGTGGGTTTCTTCTAAATAATTATCCCTTGAAGTGAGATTAGGCCACAATAGAGAAGGAAAGGCAATCTAATATGGTCATCAAGATTGATATTCATTTTAATGTAAGTTTTATGTATTTAAAACAGTTTTGGAATCATTACTCCAAGGGCTAGGATGGGAGGAATTGTATGAAAAACAGCATGGCTTAAGTGATTAGGGGGAGCATTTTGGCCCATGGGCCTCTTAATTTGATTTGATTATATTAACGTATATTAGAAATTGTCTTGTAATACATGAGAAAAGATAGTAAAATTGATTGTATAAATTTATATGTTCTGGATAGGCTATAGATTCTTGAAATAGTAGTTTGTTTTCATGGTTAAAATACTTGCCCTTCCTTGGGGTTCCTCGTATTTTTCTTTTGAGTGTTGGAATCTTCAAAAGGTCGAGTTTGTTTTCATTATTAATTATAACTTCCTTAGAAAAATGGCCGTCTGTAGGGAAATATAAAATATAATATAACATTATTTGAAAATTGGATTAAGATGTTTCTACGTAGTTACAAGATTTGTGCTTTTAAAACAAAAGATGAAAAAAAAAAATGGATAAGAAAGTCTTTTTAGATAAAGAAGATGGGTGAACATGAAGACAGAAAAGCCTATAGTGTGAGGAACATGAAGGTGAAAAATTAAATCTCAATTATATCAAAATTTTCCTTAATATTGGGTTTAACATTAAAATATACTTTATGAAAAATCTCTGAAATTTGCAAAAATCTCGCAAAGATTTAAATTATTTGCCCATGAAATATTATACACACTATGAAATATTATACACACAATAAAGAGGGCAAAATGAGTCATTTTCTAATTCTATAACATTTTTTTTTAGATAAGAGTGGGTCTTCTTTCCATTTTTTTTTTTTTGCTAGTTAATCTTGAAAGTTTGCATAAAAATATACATTTTTTGGTTACCAAGAACATGGAGCAAAGACCTACTATACATTAAAAATACATTTTATGACATAACATTCGCATATTTTAGAGAAATACTTAAGTCCATTAAGTCAAGGGTCATATCACAAACATGATTTAAATGCCACTATTTGTCAGGACTAGTGTTTAGCGTGCTAGTCTCGAAAGAAAATGATACTCAGGAGTTCAATCCCCGCGAGTACCACATCTTTTAATAAAAATAAATTTTGACGAGAAAATTTTCCTCATAAAAGTTTTATTTATGATGATTTCATAAACTTCAATAATGAGAAGGTTACTCTAAATACAAAATTCACAAATTTCACATGATTTTTAAAATATCTTAAGGTATAGGCTTTCTGAAGGATGTTCACATATTTCCTTTTGGGGAACAGTTTTGTGTTAACAGTAGTTTGAGATTTGGGTTTGATGAATGTGATGAGCAATAATCTTGAAAAATAATGCATTTTGTGATTAATAAAATTAAAATGTATTGAAATATGAGTTATTTTTGTTTAATATATTTTGCTAGAAGAATTGTGTGTGTATATATGATATAATTATGAATGTCTCTGGATGAAGAGGAGAGTTTAAATCTGAAATATTGTTGGAAAAGGTTACGGCAATTGGGAATTGAAAAAAAAAAAAAAGAATAGATTAATTGTTATTTAATACTGATGACGTACTGATAATGAAAGTGGATCAGATTGAGAAATAAAAATGAGAGTGTAAATTCGTTGTGAAAAAGTATATTGGTTCGTGGGAAAAGACTGAGGAGGACTATACATTGAAGGGATTGCAAGTAATTGAAGATAGAAATATAAAGGCAATACCTGTAAGTGGGTAAGAAAGAGTAGGAGGGATTGACATATATTTATTTAGAAGAATGGTTTCAGATCAGGGTCGGGAGTATTGAAAAAAATATATCAGGTTGAAATGAACCCCAGTTGAAATGTAGATGGATGGTAAATCATATTTAAACATGAATAAGAAGATTGTGGTATTCAAGGTTTATGTAGGAGTAATATATAAGTTTTACCTTGCTAAGTAGTTGATTATAATTAGGCTTAAATTCTAGGTGCATAAAATTCAAGGATACGTTTATTTTTAACTTACCAACAACCTTTGTTTTTTTCATATCTTTTAGAAAGTACAAATTTCCCTCCTGTTGAAACTACATGACCTTGAGATAGTAAACAAAGGCAAAAAGTCAAATAATTAGTAAAGTTTTTATTTCAATTTATTTTAATTTATTTAACGTTTCAAAAAAGGGATATAGTTTAATAAAGGCATTATAAAATATAAAATAGATATTGTAACAATTTATAGGTAAAAAGAATTTTCAAGCTAATTTAATTTTAGTGAATGATAAAATCAGATTGCATTTGGTGCGGTGCAATTTTCCCAGTTACCGGGACGTATCGAGATCGGTTAAATCCCATTAACTGGGATAGTATATACCTCTTTCAACATTTCAGCTGAGAAGAAGTGAGTGGACGATCAGTAACTCACGTCACTAACTCTTGAATCTGACGATACATAGGATCTACGTAAAAGGAATGAATTTAGAAATAAAATTTGGACAAAGTTTAAATAACTTACTACAACTCAAAACAGGACGCTTTACAGCGAATTAGCAGTAAAGTTTATTTAAATAAAACATGTGGGAAGTATAAAAGATTTGCAGATACACTGAAAAAAGTACCGAAAAATATCGTTATAAGGACATCGGAGCCGAAGGCTCGAGCGAGCTTTTCGGATCGAAATTTTTCCGCTGTCGTCGTCGTTGTCGTAAATTTTTCATGATTTCACCTTCTTTAGAACAACTGGGCCAATTCCAACCAAACTTAGCACGAAGTATTCTTGGGTAAAAGGAATTCATTTTTTTTTTCAAATGAAGGGGAGTTAATTTAGAAATTTTGAAAATTGGGTGGGGTCATTTAAAAATAATCTTTTCTTGAATCACTAGGCCAGAAAAAAAGAAACTTATGTGAAAAACATAGCGTAGATTCAAATCTTTAGTTCAAATCATGACCCTCGCGGGTAGGATGGGGCCACCATGAGCGATCAAAGTTTTACGTGGGAAGATATAGGAAAAATCTTTAAAAATCTTCTCAAAGACAGCAAAGCCATGATGTTACATTTATATGGAAATATTTATTTCACACAAACTTAGTTTAGATTCAAGTTTGTTCAAATCATTACCCCCGGGGTAGGGTGGGGCCATTATTGGCGATCAAAAGTTTAACATGGGAATACATAGGGAAAATCTTTCAAAATCTTCTTCTCAAGAACAACAAAGCCATTATTAGTCATATTAATAGAGAAACATCCTCAGGTAGTGAAGATTCAAGATTGTTCAAATCATGACACTTGGGGATAGGTGACGCCACGATATATGATCTTTATTTTACATTTGCAGTATAAAGAGAAACATCTGCTGATAGAGAACCAAAGGGCCATAGTGACTCCGGTGAGCGTTGAAGCCCATGATTCTCTTGTTTATATAACTGAATGAAATTTAAAGGCATACATAAAAAAGGGGTATTTAATTAGTATGTAATGTTTGATCATTCAAGATATAAAAGTTGTGACATTACTTTTCTATCAACCCTAGTACAAAAAGTAATATTCCGTGCAATTGAAATCAAAAAAGACTGATAATCAAGATGCTAGAAATCAGGAGAATCTATTCCAAACTTTTTATATTTTGTACTTGAAAGAATGTTCTCTGTGATATATTTTGACGAAAATTTATTCGTTTTCTAAGCAGAGTTAGAGCGTTATTCTTAAACTTATTATTTAAAAAAAACAAAAAACTTACATTTCTGTTTCATTTTTACATTTAAAGAAATAAAAAAAAAATCATTAGCATGCTTGATAATACTGACACACACAAATCCTATTCAAAAAACCAAACATTTGGTAAAAATAGGTACTATAACATTTAGTTAATTTCTTTTTTGCGAAGTCGATTATTTGCTTCTTAACCTGTACCTGGGGCCTAAGTCCTAAACGATAACCTTAACCTGCATATTTTCCCTCACAAATTCGGCTATGGTTTGGGTTTACATGAGTGTTTCGCTTTATCATAAGTATAACAGTATAAGTATTCTGCAAAGAAGTTCTCGTTTCTTTTCCTTACGTGTCAAAACTCCCTGAACATGACCATGGACATGCATTACAACTTCTTCTAGCGAAAATAGTCTCAAAATGAAGATGAAAGGTATTGCAGGTGCAATATTTGCCTCTACATCCACATATATCTCGCTGGCTCGACTGTTGTGCCAGGACTGAGAAATTTGACTACAGTATCTGAGAAACAGGCAATTCAAGATTTTTCCGCTCAAATCAAGAAATCGATGACTTCAGTACATCGTTGAATTTGAGCTACAACTGATGTGCATGGCGGGCATATTGGAAAGGGGGGGGGGGGGTTGCAGGCATGTAGTACCGTTTTTGAAAGTGGTCAGAAATGTACTATTAAAGGAACTGGTACTAATAGTATGTATTCATTAGGCTTTGGAAAAACTGCTTTTTTTTGTATTGACTGCCTTGTTATAAATTTTTGTTAATAGCGTTCTCTATAACCACATAAACTTCTTTGCCACGCATGGTCACCGATTTTAATTAAACGTTCCCCATTATTACAACTTGACACCAGAAACATGTATTAAATAAAATTTCGTTGCTATGTGTCTTGGTTGCCATGGTAACCAAAAATTGAGATTTTCAGATACTGCCGCAAAGTACATCATATAAGTAAGATTGAAAAAAAAATGTCCAATGCTAAGTTTCAATCAATTCTGATAAACATGTAGATCTCCCCTCCCTCGTATAATGAGAAACCATTTATCTCCCCCCCCCCCCCACACACACACAGACATAATAAAAAAAATATACATATATACAGCAGAGTGAAGTTTCACGTATATGGGTTTTCCTCAGTGGCTCTCCAAAATCTTCTTTTGTTTAAGAGTTCTTGTTAGTTTATAAATAACTCAGATATAAAAACCAGGTGAGGGTTATTTACAACTGTTAATATAATTAGTTCTATCCTTTCTGCATATCTAACCCCTTATAGTTTAATTGCCTCTTAGCTCCCTTTCCTGTGATAAACTTGTTTGTGTATAAAAGCTTAGGGACTGATATTTTCTCAAAAAAAAAAAAAAAAAAATGAAAGCACCCGATCTAAATGATATAAAAATGTAATCAGAAAATAGATACTTCTTTGATACAAGTGATCATGATAAATATTTAAACACCATGTTCATGCAAGTCTGGATTTTCACATCTTTACAGCCTTAAAAGCTGACATTCATATCACTGTTGCCATTGAAAGATAACAGTCAAAGTATTATTCATCTAGTAAATTTATTTAATATCTACAGCTTCTCCCATACAAAGCCAGGCTGTGAGGGTAATTCTGAGCAGGTGCATAGTTTTTCCATCAAGACATGTACTCTGGGATAAAATCCATTCTAAAAATAAAATGAAATATTATTATAAGTGCTCTGGTGATTAAAACAGTAAAACTTAAAGCAATGTAATAGGTAAAATCTAATGAAATCACATAAAAATGTATCAAATATCTGTAACTCGGCTATTTTTATTTATTAAAATAATTTTATAAAATAATATGTGTGTTGTTGATATCATTAAGCATACCTTTTTACTTGGTGTATACACTTGCTGCCTGTGTCAACACTGGAATGGTTCAAATTGTTTGTGAACAGCTACTGTAACATAAAATATACCAAAAATGTAATGAGTCAAATACATAATATTTTAAATGAATGGCATTGCAATGTGCAAAAGAAACCATGTAATATAATATTTTCTAAAATTCATGAAATCTTTTGTTACAAAACTTTTCTGGGAATTTTAAAGCTCTGACATTTGCAATAGCAATTATTTTAAGCTTGGAAAATAACTGATTAAAGGAAACAAATTCATAAATGAAATTCTTGCATCTGTTCAAAATTGAAAAAAAAAACCCTATTATATTGGCATACAATAAAATTATTGTAAAATATTTAAATAGTGAACATACCATGTTTAGAAATTATTGCATATGTTTTCCGTAGATACAATGCAACTCTGGGTTATATGCATGCAGAGCCTGATAGCTACAATGATGAAAGAATTGTACATCATGTATTCAGACCAGAAAAATAAAATAACATGATATTCAATTTTAAATTTAGAAATATCATTCTACAGATTTAGAGTTTAATAATACAGATGTTAAGAATTATTTTAAAATGTGAAACACTACCTGGTGAAAATTGAAACTTTTATCCTATATTTTTGATTTACAGGACTGGGTGTAAAATGCATGCATGCATGTATATTACATATACAATACAGTTTCACTTTACAGATATATACACTATATGGATGTGCTAAATTATCATTTGATTTCCAGCTTTCCTTTTCAAATTACATATTAAGACGATTGTATGTCAACATAATTACATGTACATGTTAAGTGAATCTTTTATCAATGATTGAAATTGAACAATAATTAATTTAAATAAATTTAACAGCAAACTTTTGCATGCCTGCAGATCTCCATTATACATGCATTCCCTCAAAAATTAGTTGAACGACAAGGAATTGCATATTCAGTGCAAATTAAACTGTTGGTTTACAAATTAAAGAAAAAGGGACAAAAAACTAAACTGGGAAAAATTGTATTCAGTAAGTTGGCATATTGTAGAGGACCCTGGTGACGGAGTAAGAATTCATTGGACGAAATGTACACGGGTGTGATACACGTTCTATTTAGTGGTATTATATAAACCCAATAACTGCATTTTTTTGTTATTTGTACTAAAAACAATGTTTAAGTTCATTCTAAGTGTAGAAAAAAAAAAAAAATCAAAAATATGATTCCGAAAGTAACATGGGGTGTTTTCCGCTTATGGTGACGGAGTTTGGGTATTTCTGGATAATTTTATTCACAATTTTTGGTGACATTTGAAATCAAGGACGAGGCAGACCTTCAGAAATAAAACCATGCGACTCTCCTAGAATATGACGACTGCACATGACAATAAAATGAATACGAACAATAGACCGTTTCACGATAACTGTGGTACTTTTGTTTTGCAGGGCAAATTCATATAGTTTTGGTGAAATATGACGTAATGGCATGTTTAATAATGGTTATGTTTAATAAATGTCATTTTATTATCTGTCAAGAAAAATTTCGCAAAACGTTTATAAACTGCCCTGCAAGAAAGCAGTACAGCAGTTATCGTGAAAGTGCTAATTAGTCTATGACAACTGCACAACTGACAATAAAATGATTGGCATTGCCAAATACAAACAATTAAAAGACTACGACTGCGCATGACAATAAAATTGACTGGCATCCTCCTTTGCCTTCTCTGTCTTATGTAGGCTGCTATTGGAAAAGATGGAGGAAATGGTAAGTATTTTTCTTCGCTGGCTTAACAAAAAGATAAATTATTCAATTATTATGTTTTAACTGCTTTATCATAAATCTCTTACGGAACTTTACTGATATTCAGAAACTGACATATTTATTTAATTTTGTAACTTGATAAAAGATCGTTGTTTTTTAAGCGAATAATTGTTGAAAGCTTCAGGCACATGTTCATACAAGTAAGAAATATTATCTCATTGGCGTGAAAATATGGGTATTTTAAAGAAAGTGAATCGACAGATTTTTATATATTTGTACAGCAAATTGCTTAATCACAAGTATTGCCTATACTTTTATCATTTTTTAGAACTAAAGCGTTTTTTCTTGAAGAAACATGTGTTACGGCTACTATTAGACAACAACACCGGTTTCTATCGGAAATGCAACTTCTCGAATTTTCTAAATGTGCACTTTGAATTTTATTCTTTGTTATCAATTGATTGTCGTATTTTTCTCATTTTTGCAGTGGTATATTATAAATGAGATATATAATTATCAAGATATATTGTTTTAAAAATTCTATTTATTCAATTTTTTACCTGTGTAATTACGCCGCAGGATAGGTTAGTTTTTAATTTGTGTCGCAAAGTTTACACGAGCGATCTTATTTACATGTTTAGCCGGTGGTGTTTTTAAAAACAGGTCCGTAATAAAAAGCCACCCATCTAAGAATGGTTTGTCGATCGTAAATAATTATTTTAAATGCCTGTACCCCCCCCCCTTTTCAAAACTTTCTGCTTGTCATTTTTTTCAGACTTTTTAATGTTGATCTCAATTATTCTTTTGCACCCCCCTTCTTTCTGCATCTTAAAAATGTACGTATCTCTAATATCGTCGATCCAGCAAGAATGGGGGGGGGGGGGGCTGTCAAAAGTTACAATTGTTTGTTCAAAGTAAATTTTCCCATGGATTAATTACATATATGATATATCTAATATATACATGTACATTATTCTGCTTAATGATTTTAATTATATTACTTTACATATTTCCAGAATTTTTCATCTGAAATGTCAATTCTTGGAGTTGAATTCATTGAAGAGGGGACTGAATCCCATGTAGAAGAGACACCAGCCTCAACTTCAAAACAAACTGCTTCCGACGACGACGAAGGTTTCACAAGTAGCACTTCAATGGGGACCGAGAATATAATTCAATCAGAATCAACAGAAACTATAGAAGTAGTGGTGGACACCAATAATAATAAGTCATTCAAGACCTTTTCTTGCAGCTACTGCAGAAAAACATATTCTACATCAACAAGCTATAATCGACATAAGATATTGCACACTGGAAAAGGTCACCAACGCAATAAATGTAACAAAATTTTTTATTCAAGATTTGATTTAAAAGATCATGTATTGACCCATAATGAAGATAAACATTTTTGGTGTACTTTTTGTTGCAAGGCTTTCAAGACAAGAGGTGGGTTAAATTCGCATAAAAGAATGCATAAAGCAGATTATAAATACATCTGTGACCACTGTGGTGAAGGTTTTATATACAAAAGTAACTTTGAGGGACACAAAGCAAGGCACGAAAATCTAGCACCTTTTCAGTGCAATGTTTGCAACAAAACCTTTAGATATAAAAACAGTCTTCTTAGGCATGGTTGTGGCTTGATTAAAAAATTTAGTTGTGACAGCTGTGGGCAAAAATTTAAAGCTAAGCGGTACTTAATGGACCACCTTCGTGCTCACATGAACCCCGAACGTTTCCAATGCTCGACCTGTGGAAATTGTTTCAAATACCGAGGATCTTTTTACCGACATAGAAAACAAACTGGACACAAGTAAGATGATGTGTAGTGTTTCAATTTTACACCGGTGAGAATGTTAGTATTGAAGACTTTACTTGGAAATCTTCATTATGAAAAGTTTTTCCTTTATTTATTCAACAGAGTTGAAAAACCGTACTTTACAATTGAATATTTTTTTAGTTTATGTGATTTAATTATCTACACAAGTAGTGTTCATTGTTACTTAAGAAAATTGATAAACGTACAAAGAAGGGCTTCGGCGTGAAAATTACAACCAAAATAAAAAAAATGCATGAAATATTCTTAATTGTTAAAAAAGAAAATGCTGAATAAACTTAAAATAATTTTAGATCAGTTTTCCTTGGGTTTTCATTACAACCGGAATATTTTATATTCTGCGAATGAAAATGTTAATGATGATTTTCCTGCAGAGGAATGCCCAAAACGTCGTCGGTAAAATCTTTGATTCGTCACACTTATGATGTTGACGGACTGGAAGACATCCCCTAGATACAGCACTAGATTGTGATATATCAGATCGCTTAGACTTCCGCTGTCGCTTTCCAAACAGCTCAGGAGCATCAAATGCATGGTTTGTAGAAAATAGAATTTTAGGACAATAATATCATAACCAATTTTAGAAAATAAGAAGTACTGGCATTCGTCTTAACTTAAAATATAATATGATACAAGTAAAGATCCTTTGAAGAAAAAAATTGCACAATTTAAAATTCACAACTACCTGTTTGTAAAAGTTTTATACCTTGGTGATATCAATGATACAGAACTTGGGTAGCAAATCTCTTGAACTTCATTTTGTTCAAATGCATGATTCAAAGGTTTCAGAAGTTTCTCATTGGGGTGTACAGACTTCCGTGTGGTGTAGATATGGAATGACCTGTGTAGAATACCAAGTGAATCAATCAAATATTATTGGCATATATTTATATCTGTCTGATTGACATTTATCAAACATTATATATATATATATATATATATATATATATATATATATATATATATATATATATATGTGTGTGTGTGTGTGGGTGTGGGTGTGTGTGTGTGTGTGTGTGTGAAAGAAAGATATATATATATATATATATATATATATATATATATATATATATATATATATATATATATCTATCTATCTTTCACACACACACACATACACCCCTCACCCCCCACCCCATTATATATATATATATATAGAGAGAGAGAGAGAGAGAGAGAGAGAGAGAGAGAGAGAATGTAATAATGGATGTATACCTGTCCGATGGATCACATCGATAGTGCTGCATCTCTGTAACATTAGCCATGAGGCGTGGAACACTTACAGCTTTCGGACATCCAAGCTTTGTTGGTTCCAACTCGCTTAATTCACCAAAGAATGTTTCATTAACAAGAGACGAAAGTGATCTCTGATTGTAAGATTTTCCGTTCGCAATACCGTACAACTGAATAGAAGTATCTATTCTTTGGAGAAAACCCTCGTACATTACTTTTGGGAATCCTTTGATATACATCCCCGGTGGAGGAAAAACTCCAAAATCAACATCCCACAGCAAAAACGTTTAACTCTTTCTACAGCAGTAATACCTCCAGAGTCTTCAGATTCGTACCATCGACGAATAAGGCTGCAAAAGTCTGCCTCTGTAGAAAACGCAAGATTTCGCATTTCATCTTCAACAGCTTTTGAAAATGTCCTTTTTGCAAAGGCATTATTTTGTTTATCCATTAAGTCAACAACGATAGCATTACTGATAATGGAGTTGTTGTTCTCTGCTACGCTATGCCATGCCTCCTTTCGTACACCCAGCAAGCCATCTTTACATACCTTACAGCGGAGATTTACCAACAAATGGTGGGCGTCCATACATTTTGGCTCAATTTGTTGTCTCTCTTCGTTGAATTCGGGAAAAGAGAACCACGTGGTTGTACCTACATTCTCGATCCTTGTGTGAAGCTGAAATGATGAATTTTTCCCCCATTCATCATATTTTGTGTCATAAATTAAAGCTGCTAATGTATTATTTAATCGCTTTTTTGGTATTTTGGTTGAGCTTGAGCGGACAATAAGAGAGGCAAAATATTTGAGGGGCATCATTTTTTTTTACTTTTCTCTCCCATATGTCATCTTCCCCACTAAACATTTTTTTAATTTGTTTTGCCTTTTCATCCCGCGAGCATGATTTCTTAATTTTTATTCCCAGTTTATTATGTAGTTCTTTTGTTGCTTCAATGACTACATTCATTTCTTCATGCTGCATTTTCATGAGTAATAGTCCGTTGACGAAAGATTCTTTTAGTCCATCAATTGTTTTGTTTGCCCATTTCTTCAATACGTTTTGTTTGAGTGAGTTTTTAGATTAAGAAGGATTTGTTCGATTGTTTTTTCAGGTATTATAGGCTGGACAGTCGAAAGGCACGTATTTTCTATGTTTCCTTTGTCATGACCCCCTATGGTGACATCTTCCTCAATGAGAGGTTCCAGATCATTTACAGTACTATCTATCTGCATAGAATTTTCAGCAAGGAGTAAAGTTTCTAAAGCTTCATCTGGAAGGCACGACGTGGTATCAACTGTTTCTGTTTCTGTTTGTGTCGTATTCATTTTCTTTCTCCTCAATTTGCTACTTACAGATTGCATCACTCGTTTTAAACGGTCGCAGGAAATCTTCAGAACAGTGCTTGAACTGTCCATTTGAAGATTCTTTTTTTCTGTATCAATGATAGGCTCAGATGTTAGTTTCTTTACTATTGCATCCCGTGTCATTTTTGTTGCCTCTTCATAGAGCATATCTCTCATTACTTGGGTCCCAAGACTATATCCCTTCATGGCATAAGCAACAGGAAGAGAACTAGAAACTCATTGCAAGCAATGAGAGGTCTTCCGTCCGAATAACCATCCTTACATGTGATGTTCTTTGTATGTAAAATTACATATATGCTCATAGTAAAGAAGCCAAAAATATATCATGGGTCTTTCAAAATTGCGAGGATTTTAAAGATTTATTTAAAAAATGAAAATAGAACAGAATTCACACAGAAAAAAAAACCAAAACATCATTTATAAAGATGAAGACGTAAATTTAAGCTAAAAAATGAGAAAGGAAATTCAGACATAATCGGGATTAAACTCAGATCGCATGCGTGAAAATTCAATATGGAAACCAATACACCAGATTAATTTTACCAACCATCATCGATGTTCACTTTGTATCGTTGCATGAAGTAACGAGCGTCAGGAAGTTTAAAGTTTTTTACATATATATATATATATATATATATATATATATATATATATATATATATATATATATATATATATATATTATACTGCGGAATTATAGAATGAGAGCTAGCTAGACAAATTTTGTGCAAGCAGATTCACATCGGAATTCGTTGCTGAGTTTAAACAATAATTGTTAGCAGAAGAAATAATCCATTACTGATGAACTGATGATACTGTTTACTTCCTTTATTCCTTCTATATTTAAATTTTTATTCTATGCAATTCCATATACATGTATTCCACGTAATCTTTTTCTGCACTTCTGCATCAGAACATTTTTCTACTTTAAAAGGGAATCACGATACATTATTTCGCGCCAAACGTCGCGAGTAAATCTTCGCGCCTTTTCTTTGAAATGTATGTTCTATTGAATGGTTTCGATTCTCATATATATCATAGTATGTACCGTACAAATTACATATTTAAATGTATTTGGAGGTCAGAGTATTTATGTTTTCAAAGACAGATTATCCATTTCCAAAATCTGCCAGATCCAACAATTCCTTCACATTTCATTGATCCTTATGGTAGTTTCCTTCAACAAGACGCTCGGTTGTCTAAGTAAACTCCGACCTGCTAATCGGCAATCCTCGGCTGACTCCGCTACCTCCATACAAACTTCGCATGTGATTGGTGGAGGAATATGTGTCAAATCGATTACATTTCTCCGCCGAAAACTGCTTTGTAACTTATTTCATATTTCGCTCTGCATAAAGTTCTTCAAAAGGTTTTTTTTTTCTCTTGTCTAATTCTTCCTTTTATATTTGTTTTGATTACAGCATCATGTAAGTAGTATTTGAAAGCAAAAACATAGTGTTGGGCGTGCCACAAAGTAGCTCAGATTTCAAAGGTATACATTTGGAGGAATTTCAAATAAGATCACAGGACTGTATCAGCAACCTGGTAGAACACAGTTGACGTCCGAGGTTAGTGTGCGAGGTACGAGCCACCCGAGAAGCTCCGAGTGCCGACTTGCTCGTCGGAGTGTACGGTGACAGCCGCCATTTTGGAGCCGCTTCAAATTTTAAAATGCAAATATCTAGAGTTCGAATTTATCTATCTGAAAACAAATTATATATTAAGCATTTACAGAAGAGTTTCTATTAACACTACTATAATCAAAGAAAAATATTGAAAAACAAAATAATTTAAAAATTCAATTTTTTTAAATTTGCATTTGGTAACAAACGGAAGTATTGACGGCGAACGAAAGGTCACGTCCCGGCTAGTATTTATCACGATCTATAATCCCTGAAAGTTTCACATTGATATCGTTTACCGTTCTTGAGATAATCCGCGGACAAAATGTCATTTTAAATTCAGAAAATGGTCCGTAACTTGGCACCGGAAGTGAATTTCCAAATTTTCTCTCAGATAGATCAAGTTCATGTTACGACACATCTTCCCTGAATATTTCATGTTAATCCGTCCAATAGTCTTTGAGAAATCGCGTGCACAAAATTAGAAAGTCAAAAAAAAAAAATAATAATAACTAGAAACTCATTGCGAGCAATGAGAGGTCTTCCGTCCGATTCTGAAAATAAAAACAAAAATTGAAGTTGAAAACGTAATAAAAGGAATTCAGAAACTCTGGAGATTTAACCCTGGTTGTCAGCATGAAAATCCAACGTGCTAACCATTAATTATTCCCTTTTTTGCATCACTTCCTGTCACGACCGGAAGTAACGGCGATACAAGATTTTCTCACGATTTAGATAAACTGATGACTGACTATCAGTCCTGAAAGTTTTAGACTTCAGTTGTTTACTGTTGCCGAGCAATGTTGTGAGAACAAATTCTAATTTGGAGGAGAGGTAAACACGCGACCGGAAGTGAATTTTATAAAAAAAAAAAAAAAAAAAATCTCTGACTTTTCTCTAGACATTTGCAGTATCTATAACATACCTTAAATTATTTCAAGTACTTTATCGATAAGCAATATTTATGAGAAAGTTAAATATAAAAATAACGTAGTTTATCTCCTAAAACCGGAAGCTGACGTTTTTGTTTCCAGTGAAATCTAACATATTCAAACAGCAAAAAAAAAAAAAAAAAAAAAAAAAAAAAGAGAAGCAATAAAGTGATGCAAGTTTTAATTCAAAAAAGTAAAGTAAAAAACTTGATTTCTTTGATCACTATGACAAGCGGAAGTGACGACTGACGCGTTTAACCCAAAAGGTTTCGCCTACTCCTCAGGGTCTATTACTCATAAAAGTTTGGTGTTTTAATCTTTTACCTGTTTTTGAGATCTCGTTCAGACAACTTCTCTTTTTGAGGATAGGAAAACACGCGACCGGAAGTGAATTTTTGAAAGATATCTAAGGTAACTCTAGACATTTGCACTGTAAATAACATATTTAAAATTCATCTCAAATACTTTATATATAAAAAATATTTATGGGAAAGTAAAATACTCGAATTATGTAGTTTTCTCTTATAACCGGAAGTTGTCGTTTTTGTTTCCGGTGGGAGCAACATCTTTTGAATCTGCAAAAAAGTTGCAATAAACTGATGCAATTTTTAATTAAAAAAAGAAAAGTTGAAATTTTCGATTTCTTTGATCACTTCCTGTGACAACCGGAAGTGATGACTGACGCTCTTAACCCAAATGGTTTTGCCTACATCTTAAGGTCTGTTGCTCATATAAGTTTGGTGTCTTAATCTCTTACCGTTTCCAAGATCTTGCTTAGGCAACTTCTCATTTTTAGGACAGAAAAACACGCGACCGGAAGTGATTTTTACAAAGATATTTGACGTTACTCTAGATATTTGCAGTCTGAATAACATATTTAAAATTCATTCCAAATACTTTATCTACAAAAGATATGAACGGGAAAGAAAAATACTCAATTTATGTAGTTTTTCTCTTATAACCGGAAGTTGACGTTTTTGTTTCCGGTGGGACCAACATATTTCGAAACTACAAAAGAGATGCAATAATGTGATGTAAGTATTGATTTAAAAAAGGAAAGTTGGAATTTTACGATTTCTTTGATCACTTCCGTAAGCGACCGGAAGTGCCGACGACGAACGAACAGTAGCGACCCGGCTGTTATCTATCACGAACTATAATCCCTGAAAGTTTCACATTGATATCTTTTGTCGTTCTTGAGATTATCCGCGGACAAAATGTCATTTTGAAATCAGAAAATGGTCTCTATCTTGGCACCGGAAGTGAATTTTGAAATTTTCTCTCAGATAGTTCAAGTTCATTTTACGACACATCTTTCCTGAAAATTTCATGTAAATCCATCCAATAGTCTTCGAGAAATCGC